TAGGTGTTTGATTCACTTTCTTTCGGGATGCTTTATTTAAAATATAATTAACAGAAAGTATTGCTTTCTCCCACAAGTTCTGAGGTAATCCAGAACTTATTAATATGCATTCATCATTTTTTTTTAAAGTCCTATTTTTCCTTTCAGTAATTCCATTTTGCTGAGGTGAGTAAGGAACGGTGGTTTGATGAATTATTCCATATTCTTTACAAAATTCACCGAAAGGTGATTCATATTCACCACCTAGGTTCCTCTTCTTCACAGATGTAACATTTTTCATTAAATTTGTACTTCTTATTTTCCACTCTTTTAGAGCCTTGTGCAGAACTTTCTCTAGAAACTTTCATTTCTTTGCTTTTGAAGCATGTTCTACAACATTTGCCTTAGACTCCACGGGATGTTTACCAGCTCACTTCTTAAAATTGCAGTTGTCCTCCTTAATCCTTAAACGCACAATCAATTTCTCCAGAGTCATTTCTTTACACTTGTGTTTGAGGTAGTTCTTGAATTCCTTCCAGCCTTGTGGTAAGTTTTCAATTAAGGCAACAACTTCGAAGGATTCACTAAGAGACATGCCTTCTGCATGAATGTCATAAAGAATGAGTTGGAGATCTTGAACTTGGCTGATCATAGTCTTTGAATCAACCATCACAAAATTCAGGAATTTGCCAACCACAAATTTCTTTGAGCTAGCATATTCTGTTTTGTACTTTTTCTCTAGATAATCCCAACGTTCCTTTGCCGTTTTGATAGGACTGTAAACGTTGTATAATGCGTTGTCAAGTCCGTTCAAGATGTAATTCTGGCAAAGGAAATTAGCATGTTTCCAGGCATCGACCGCAGCAACCACTTGCCGGTCGATTTTATCCTCTTTCAGAGTAGGAGCATCCTCACGGAGGAAACGCGCCAAGTTGAGGGTAGTAAGATAGAACAACATTTTCTGTTGCCATCTTTTAAAATCACTTCCTGAGAACTTCTTTACCTTCTCACCGTGATTGACTGGTAAAGTCGCAACAGGAGGAGGGATTGAAGCAATTGCAACTACCATACTAGTACTTGTTTGAGCATTAGTTTGACCAGTTTTAGTAACCATGAATTCTAAATTATAAAACAAAATTATAATTAGAATTTTATACTATACAGAAAATTTAAACCAAAATCACATAATTAAATTCTGTAAAAAATAAAAGAAACAAGAATTGTAATTTTTATTTCTAATTAATTTGAAAATAAAATAAAATTTTATTAAACAAATTAATTCCACACAAAAAATTAAATTTCTATAGCACTTCAAAAATTAAAGTACAGAAATAGAATTTTAATTAATAAAAACTCAGAAATTATTTCTGAAAATGAAAATTAATTTCTGACCAACTTCACAAATAAATATTTTGAATTGTTAATGATTACTAGTATGTTACTACTAGTTGTCAAAGAAAATAAACAGTATATTACTACTATTTGTTTTTCTAACCAGAATATTACTTTGTAAAACCATAGAAAATAATTTCTGTAAGAAGAAGAAAGAGAAAAAGAAATAAATGAAAAATTTTATATAAACAGAATAATTCGAATCTATCTTAAGATTGTTGGAATAATTTTCTGTGTAAAATAAATAACTTGAAACAAATCAAACAAAAATAAATATATTATTTACAGAATTTATTACCGATAAAACTTTTAGATCAAGTCAATTGTGTGACACTCTGTCCTTAAAACAAATTTGCCCCGTTCCGGTGCTTACGGATAAATGGCGTCTATCTCCCAAGATACAATGATCTTTACACAGATTGTAGTAGACTCCAAACAATCTGTACAGAGAATTAGAACTTGTGTTCTATACTCTTTGAATTTTTTCTAAACAAAACTAGTATGTAAAACAATGCAAAGAAAGCACAAAGGAAAGCAATAAAAGGATTTTTCCCGAATATGAAAGCTGTTGGAAAAGTCCTCTATTTATAGGCAAAATAGGGACCAACAAATCTGTCTGAACAGATGCAGTTTTGAACCGAACAGATATGACATTTGAATGAATAGATACAGTTCAAATTTGAACAGATCTGTAGCAGCTTGAATCAGTATAACTGCTGGTAGTTTCTGGAAGTTTTAAACCTATTAAAAGACAGTTTATCTATTAGGAATTTCGGACTAGAAGATGTACAATCATAGACAGAAAATTTGAATTCAAATTTGGTGCAAATTTTGAATTAATTTCCCGTAAGAATTTTTTGAAAAAATTGAAATAAATTTTGTCCAAAAAATTAATATTAGAACCGACCCGAACCAAAACCCGCGCCTGCGCCCAGCCGATCGGCTGGACAGCGGCACGCGCACGCGTGTGTAGTGGTTTGAGCCAAGGTTCACTTTGTCCATAACTCATCCCATCTACAAACTTGGGGTGCTCCTTGGGACCCAACCCAAGTGTTGCCACCTAGAACTTATATACACACATAAGTTCTCTTAAGTTTCCAATGTGGGACAAGCCTTACAAGGAAACCTACATTTTATTATTTAATTGTTCATTCTACGAACCCAAAAACGGCGTCAACTTCTTATTCACTCATAAATGGTTTTGACGAACCATCTTCACCGTGTGACTTGCCATGTAGCAAGAAATACGTCACCTCTTTGGACCCACCCCAAAAGACGTGTGGGCCCTATTCAAATTTGGGCTCAAAGTTAGTCCAAAATAAATCTATAAAACCATATTTTTCCAACAATAACTAATACTATAACCACATTGTAAGCTATTCAATGTTCTTCTGCCAAGATTTTCATAATAAAGTTGACATTATATAATTGAGAAGCTCTCTGTCTATCTTAGTTTCTGCTACAGCCTGTAAGTTCTCTTCAACACTTCATACAAATAATTTACAGAAAAAATGTTTTCCCAAATTATTATGCAAAACAAACACCACGGAAATAAGAAAAATATTTTTTGAAAAAATATGTTACAGCAAAACAAATGTACCTTAAATTCTTGACTGCACCATCAGTACCAGAGCAATTGTAAGTATTGTTTTTGACAAAATTAAGAATATATATATATATATTGTGTTGTATTTTTCTCTAGATATTAGTTGAATCACCCAATTCTATTGAATCTATATTGGGATAGAGATGGAGATGTGGGAGAAGCTTCATCTTTGTGTGCCATATATATATATATATATATAGATCGGATCCAACACCAGAGAGACTTGTTGGGAAAAACTACTCACATTACATAATTTCACATTGCATATCGCAGAATTATGAGATGAACAAAACAAACCTTCAATCTCAGGAAAAATAACATGCTGAATAAAATACAGATAAAATATAAAATGGTTAAAGGAAGCAAACCGAAGCCTGTGTGATACCACAGTCTCCTTAAAATAGATTCGCCGCCTCACCGTTGGGTGCTGGAGGTACGTCAGCGTCTACTTCCCAGGATACGACGGTTTTTACCAGCTACAACAGAAGCACCTTTTGATTAGCTTAGCGAACGGACAACGGCAGCACTCTCTCTCAGGAAGAAAATTATAGGAGAAGTAGACTGACAGTGTATGGATGTCAAGGAAAAATTCTATATCTCTTTTCAAGGAATAAGGCCTCCTTTTATACACCATGGGGGAGAGGGAGAGGAGCCTCTAGCCATCAAGGCTGGCAACTAATGCTAGTAAAACTGCTCAATCAATTTTGTAAAACTGATGAGCCTTAAATGTGTGAGTTATATACACATTTATGAGGCAATTTCTTATTCAACCATTTTTCTCCAACAAGACTGATATATAGAAAAGAGGAGAGAGAGAAAGAGAGAGAGAGAGATTGTGAGAAAAAAGAAAATGATTGAACTAGTTGGGTTTTTCATGGTTTAAGAACTTGGTTTTGGTTGAGCAAACATATAGATTAAACTTAGAAAATTCATTTTCACTTTCTAGTCGACCGACCGATCGTCCACTTAGATTTGATGAAAGTTATAGTGTACCGTTGGAGCCGCTCATATCAGATTGAGGAAATCGTCTTTTTTTTTTTTTACTCAGATTTAATAAAAAAAATATTGAATCGTTGGAGATGCTCTAAAAAAACAAAATTGCACTTGACTGGTTGACCGGCCAGATGTCTGTCCAAACGACCGATAACACACCTAAGCAAAATTGACTATTTTTTAATATAATCTCCTCGTCTAGACTTGTAATCTGCTCACTGAAGGCCTTTCATAGTTCTAAGAAACTACGAATCTGGACATTCATAAACAAAAGGATGTTTTTTTTTAAAAATAGTTAAAAATTGACTTTTTAATTTTAATTTTATTTTTTAAAATAAAAAAAAATAATTAAAAAAAAAAAAAGTGACTTTTACCTCACTTTTTAAAATAAGCTAAAATAAACCTAATATTAATCACTGTATATCCCGTACGGACTGCTATAGTAGCCAACAAACGGGTCCTAAATTCGTTTACAAGTCACGTCCGAAGAGAGGCCTATGATTTGCTAATTATAATTAAATGACGTGAGAAAGTGTTGAGCACGCGCTCCAAAGAGAAGACGGAAAGTTTATGTATGACAGGTTAGTGGATTAGATAAGTGTGCAAAATATAAATGAGACACTCACTCTCAAGTATACAAAAGAATAAAAATGACCCCCAAATCCCGGAAAATTGAACCCCCCAAATACATTGATCTGGTTTGGTTTGTTTTTTTGAAAAAAAAAAAAAATTCAACATTTTATTTAGTTTAGTTATTTTGAAAAAAAATTTCAAAATTATTTTATCTTATTTATATATTAATCAATTATTTTTTTTCTCTCCTCTCTCTTTCTCAATTATTTTTTCTTACACATATTTATGTAATTATAATAAAATATCAAATCATGTCAAATTCTCATACTTCAAACTATTTCTAAAATATATAACAAAATAAATTAAAATAATTTCTAAACTTCTTCTTTCAAATATTTTTTAAAAAATTTATCTCTCAAGACCAAACACAACCATTCAAATCACAAGAAAAGCATCAGCAACAGTAACCTTAATAAAAGCTGAAACACCACAAACAAAACAAAAGATCCACCTCGAACACCCCTCCTCCTCCTCCTCCACCACCATCACCACCATTCTCCTCCTCCTCCCCCCTCTGTCTCTCTCTCCTCCTTCAAATCAATCTTTCTTCACAAAGAGAGAGAGAGAGAGAGAGAGAGTGAGACCCAGAAGCCCACCTCAACAATTCCAACCTTGAATCTCCCTCTTCCTCCCAACCCATCTTGTTCCTTCTTGTTTCTTGGTTTTTGTTTCTTTTTATCAGTTACAAACCACACAAATCCACCCACCAAACCCACAACTCAAAAAGAAAATCTTGAATTGGGGTTTTGATTTAGAGTGGTGTGGGAAAAAAAAAATGAGGGAAGATGATTCAACTTGGTTCTCAAAGTGGGAAGAGGAACTCCCATCCCCTGAAGAGCTCATGCCCTTGTCCCAAACCCTAATTACCCATGATCTAGCAGTTGCTTTCGACATCCGAAACCCCAATAGCCCACAACAACCACCACCACCACCTCTTCTTCCACTTCAAACCCCTTCATCTCAACCCAACTCAGCGGAATTCGATTCCGCCGAGTTAGGTGGAGGAGGCGGGGCGACTGGAGACGAGCCCGCTCGCACTCTCAAGCGTCCCCGCCTCGTGTGGACGCCGCAGCTTCACAAGAGGTTTGTGGACGCTGTGGCCCACTTGGGGATCAAGAACGCCGTCCCCAAGACCATAATGCAGCTCATGAGTGTTGACGGGCTGACCCGAGAAAACGTTGCTAGTCATCTCCAGAAGTATCGCCTCTATTTGAAGCGTATGCAGGGACTTTCCTCCGGCGGCGGAGGCGCCGGCGGAGGGTTGACTGGCGGTGGCGATCCCGCCACTGATCATTTGTTCGCGAGCTCGCCCGTGCCGGCGCATTTTTTGCACCCTGGTCGGGCGAATTCGGATAATTTCTTGCCGTTTGTGCCGGTGGCGGCGCTGCAGCAGCACCATCACCAGATGGCGGCTGCGGCGGCTGGACATCAGCAGTTGCAGACGCAGTATAGGCAAATTGGGCATTTTGGGTCGCAGCCAAATGGGCAATTCGAGCATCCATTTCTGAGTAGACAGTCACAGACTGTTCATCATCGAATTGGGGCACCAGTGAACAATCCTGTTGTGCCTTCTTCGTATGTGGAGGATATGGAATCGGCAACCGTGGCGAATGGGAGGAAAGTGCTCACTCTGTTTCCAACTGGGGATGATTGAATTTGGGTAATTGCTGCTTTTTTCACTTCAACTAGTGACTTTCTCTTATCAATTTGGATCATGGGTCACTTGGAGTTACTTCTTAGAGTTTGGCATTAGAGTTTTGTTCTTCTTCTTCTTCTTGTGGTGGTTCTAGCTGTCGTTAGCTGTGTTAATGGTAGTAATTGGCATTGGGTTTTTGTGCAATTCGCAAATGAATTAGATGCAGCAATTCCATTGCCAAGTTGGTTAATTTTGTCGTAACTAGTATTGAGTTGGTGGGAGAGGCAATTCCTGTGTCCTTTCGGTTCCTCGGATTACTGTTTTTGGATGTTGTAATTAAGTTATGGGTAGCAGTCTATTCTTCCCCTTATCAGCTTCTGGTGATTGATCGTGAAATTTTACTCTGAGCTGCAAATAACAGTGTGAGCTCATTGATGGTTGCAGTCATGGTGGTGTCTTGCATTCGAGTCTTCTTTGTTGGGCAGGGTTGTTATTGTTGGTGGCTCAAGCAAGGTTTACATCTTGAGCTTTCAGGAAGGAGTGAATAATGCTGGCGAGCACTATATATATTCTCTAGAGATCTAAGAATGGTATGTGCATCTGCGCATAAGAATTGAAATTGGGTTTCTCAGCAATTTCCAGTAATCTCATGTGTAGGAATCTAGTTCGTCGTTTCTTAGTGTCATGCAGAGGCGAGTCCTGTTGGTTCTTGTAAATTGTGTGATTTCAAAGAGGATTTATAAACCCTGATATTTGAGGAATTAAGGGGGGAAAAAAAAATTAGAATGTGATGTATTAGAATCTTAATTTTACTTTAATGATCCATGAACATTGATGAATGGTATCTGCGTTTCCTGAGTTTGTTTGGGTTTTTGATACTCATTTCTGTAGCTCGTCAAAAAGTATCTTTTCATTCCTAATTTCTTTTTTTGCTGTGGTACAGATTTATATCTTTCTTAAAGCAATGGAAATTCTTCACTATCAGTGAATGCAACTGCTTTTAAACTAAGATCTTCACTTTTTTCTCACTCAATTCAAATTATTACCTTTTTTTTTTTGGCTAATAAAGCTAGAAACTTTTGAAAATAAGAGACAGAACAAAGAGTGCTGACTTGAATGAACTATTAAAATTGTGTGTTAGCCCTCCAATTAAGCTAATACTTGATAGACCCTTTTGAATGGATTAGAGCTGGTTAATTAGAAGCTCGCTATAATACGTAATTCTTCACACACCACTGAGTTTCTTTTCGAATTGCAAGGCAAGGATCGAGGCATTAAGGGCCGTGGACGTGTCATCCCCCCTTTCCTCAAACCTTTCGACTTACACCAAACTGGTGTTAGAGCATCAGGGTTTGAGTGATATTTCAAGTTTCATATAAATTTGAAGTCACAGCATTCTTTTATTGTTTTCACATGATGTTTCATCCACTGTGATCCTTTTTTCTTACAATGTTTTGAGTGTGTTCCAATCAGTGTTTGAAAATTCAGGATCTTGTTGATTTCATCCAGGCTTGTCGAAAAAACTGAGTTTGAAACGTTGTTAATTTCATTAATGATAAACCAATTCAACATCGTTTGGTCTAGGCTGCATTATGGTTTAGCAGAGTGCACAGTAATGGTTTGAGCTTTGACCTACCTCGCTTGCTTGCTCTTTAAATATAAATTATCTCTTGGATTCCTACTTTATTCGATCTTAGTGTGAAGTCTGAGAAAGAATCTGAGTTCCCACATCAAAGTTAGCCTGTTTAGAATATAATGAAATGATTGATTACTATGTCATAACTCTACATTAAATAGGATAACTCATTGTATGAGTTGTCATTTTCTTCTAATATGTTATGTAGACTCTCTCTTAACATTTTTCACTTCCTTTGGAAATACAGATAGCATAATTTTTATTTTGTGTGAAATTTTTTAACTCTGCTGTTTGACAAGCAGAGGAAAGAAGTGAAAACTTTAAAATATTACAAACAGGTGCAATCTAATATTATAATATAACTCACAGGCTGACAAAGCTGTTTCTTCCAGGTAAAACCTTCATATCCATCCTTGCTTCTTCAATATGCCCATTCTAGGCTTGAAGAAGATGCTATTGCACATGCATGCCACTGGTTGTGGGGCAATTATTCGCTGCCCCTGGAACATTGACGTGGCATTGTCACAAAACAATCCTAACCGTTCATTTGTGTAGGATTATTTTGTAACAATGCCACAAGGGGCATGCAATAATTTTTTCCATTGGTTGGTTTATTGGCATTTTCATATTTAGTAGCATTGATGTGTGTGTTAAACATGTCAGGTTCATGATGGCCCCTCCTATGGATTACTAGTTTAATTATGCATAACCATAAAAATATGGTTTGTAATAATAAATTAATTTATTATTATTATTTTAATAATTAGCTTACATTTCCTACCTACCATGTTTAGGCCTAAACCTAATACCTAGGGTGAAGCAAGATTCCCCAAGCACAATAATGTTTTATCATTGGAAACAATTTTATTAGACAGCAACAATGTTTTTTTTTTTAAATCATATATATCATAGTTGTCTCTGTTTATTTTGGAAGAAAATATTTTTTAAAAATATTTTAAAATATTTTATGTCAAAATAAATTGATTGTAAGTTAGAGATTTATGATCGCCATTGAGCAATTCTTTCATGCGACGAGAGTAACATCTTTTTGTTCTATTTGTGGATGAAGCTAGGGTTTAACTGCTTGCAAACTTTTACATTAGCAATTTATTGCCCTAATTGAAGTGTAAAATAACATGTTATTTATCTATCATTTCACAACAATTGAGTTAGGTCAATTAGTTGAAATTTTTATACCCAAAGATTTAATTAGCTTTATTCAAAAGAGTTAAGCTATTTAAAAGATAATAAGCTTTTTATTGAATTTATTTAAGATATTTTTATCCCATAATTGTAAATATAAGTAATACCTACCATTAACACAAAAAGGTTTTGTTAATAAATATCCTAGGGGGCACAAGAAAAAAAGAAAGTTAATGTAGAACCCAATATACTTTTCATTAATTTTATAACACTTTTTACTCATTTTAAAATGCTTTTTAACTTTTTCACTATTTTCAAATTATATTTTACATTAATTTCAACATTAAACAATGCATGAGGGATACTTTTTAACATGTACCATATAACATTAATAAAGACAAAGATTATAAGTAGTACTATTCAACTACATTTGGGCGTACCTTAAACATGAGTATTATTATACTTTGGGAGGTTCACATTATTGGTAGATTATATATATATATATATGAATCTATGATTATAAAACTAGTTGTGCCAGTGAGGCATGCTTTCTAATTAATTTTCTAATCATCCAAACAGATCGGATCTGTAACCAATAATTTATTTGTCTCCTAACCCTATCACATTCCCAACCTCTTATTTTAAACATTTTTATTTTTATTTTTTAAAATTTTGAAACTGTGATAGTAGCAAGGATGATTGGTCTATTTAGACTACCACTAGCTACAGAAAATCCAGTCACAATGCTTTTCATTCATTGTTTGACAGTTCATAATCCAACCAAACTATCAATTTTTAACTTATTCCATCACCATCCATATCCATTGCATCTCCATTTTATTATTATTAACTAACAAACAATCCTTAACACACACAAGCACTACCTAAATACTCACTTCTTTTCTTAAAAAAAAAAAAGTTTAATATTATATAAAAATGAAGTCCTCTCCTCCATCATCCATATATATGGCTTGCTGGCTTACTACATAATTTATGATAATTCACATACATATACATGCATATATATATATAGGGAAAAATCTTATAGTGGATAACATCCAGCTGGGTGTGATGTTTTCCAAGCCATTATCGACCGTTTTTTTATATGCATTTCATATTTAATTTTATATCTAAAAGCCCATCCATCATGTGCTTTTGATTTCCTTAATACTAATAAAATGAACATAACATTAGACCAAATGCCAATGTAAATGTGTCCCCTCTCCCCAAAGGAACCCCCTCAAAAAGAAACCATTTAGTAATGGAGAAATTTAGAATGTACATAACTTAAAATGGTGTATCCTTTAAAATGATACACATTGTAAAAAAATTATAATTTTTTATGATGAACGTTATAATTATTTGTGATGTGTTATGACATTTTATAATAAAGTTATGAATAGCGAATTTATGATGTGCATCCTAAAATTAGTAATGATAATATTATGACACTTTGGGATTTTGTTTTAAGTATTAAAAAAAAAAAAGGTAGGACTTTTGTAGTGAAATATTTATGACATTTTGTATTTAAGTTATAAAATTGTGAAAAAGTTATGAAAAACACACTATATGCACTTTTTTGAGGGTGTACATTATAACATTTCCCTTTAATAATTAGCATTATCATAAAATTTACAAAAATAATAATAAGTAAATAAAAGTTATTGTTTGGTACTATTTTTGTTTTATGTTTCTGTTTATAAAATAAAATAAAATTTTGAACGAAAACAGGTTTCTGAAAAATTATTATAATTTTCAAAATTTTGAGGGAACAAAATAAAAAATAAAAAATAAATAAAAAACAGAAGAAAAAATTACAAGAAAAATATATGAGTTCAGTTTTTTCAGAAACAAGTATTTATTCTTGTCCAATCACCTCCTCCACTATTGTCATCCCCATGGACAAAGCACCCAACATAATTGCTTACTTTTATCAACATTAACCACACCATTTGTGTTTGCATTACTACTTTTGTGAAAATGTTTTGTTTCCTTAATTTTTGAAAATTTTGTACTAAATAAATGATTAAATATCTCACATGATTATAAAATTCATAAAAAATGAACCCCACATTTATGTAAAAAATTTAATCATTTATTTGATAAAAAATTTAAAACCTATAACATTTTCTTTTATTTTTTGGTCAAGTATGTTTGTTTAATAAAAAGACAAAGTTGGTTAATCAAAACAAAGATGTTAGTTCTAAAGCTGTTTTCAGTTTTTAAGTTTTTTATTTTTTCATATTTTAGCCAAATTATTTTATTTTTTAGATGCACTTCATTCAGATATGCCTACAAAGAAAAACGACAAAAACAAACGTTTTTGATTTATTTGCTTTAGCGGATTTTTTTTTTTACATTTCTTCACAAATATTTTTTAAAAAAAAAAAAAAAAAGAGTAAAATATGAAGGGGAAAAATCACTAGACAAAAAATAAAAAGCTCAAAAACGGTTTGTGTTATAAACCAAGCAATGAGTTTGGTCCATTTACATCCGAACTTCACAATACAATGCGCGCGCCAACATATGTGTCAAAAAAATAAAAATAAATAAAATAATAATAATAATTAAATTAAATTAAATGAAAAAAAAAAGAAAAAGAAGAAAGAAGAAAGAAGAAAGCAGAGTCTCAATGAACTCAATATGACTGAACTGTATGTATATGATAGAAAGCAAACATAAATTCAAAAATATAATAAAAGAAAGTCAACTAGTATTATCCTTCACTCCCTAATAGAAAAGAAAATCACAGACAATAATTTGGAACAGCAAAATTTTAAGAGTTCTTGAACAGAAAAGGGCATGCTGATAAGGTTCCAAGAATATAAGAGAGTCCAAGACCAAGGGGGCTATTATGGATACAATAGTAGGTAACCCTTTCAGCTATGGAGAAAGTAATGGCTAGCCTGTATTCAATTCTGTGTTATACAGAGATTTCCCATCTAAATTGTCAATCAATGGTTTTGCAAGTAATCAAAACTCAGGCTGCTGACAGTAGTAAGGGGCCTGCATGACATTCAAATTAATTGGAATTCATTAGATTTAGATACAGAAGTTGCACGAGGAAACAATAGACGAGGAA